GAGAGCAATGACGACCTTTCAGCGTACGGTCAAAGCCTCCCTTCAGAAACCCCTTTAACGGGGAACCCCTTGGACAACAACTCCTTCAGGAAAGGATTTGGGGGTGATGGAGGCAGGGACAGGGCCAAACACAATGTCCCCTGCCTCCCAGGTGCCACTTCTCAGTCCAAATCCTCCTCCCAGATAGGCTTTCCTCTGGGAAAAACAACTGTCATGTTTTAGCTACTGAGGAAGGAAACTGGGCAGTGAATAGGGAAATAGTGAGAGCATGGGTGTGAGGATGGGGGAAGGTAAAGCAAGGGAGGTTGCAAGAGGGAGTGGCTAAGAAAATCAGCAGTGGGGGAAGGAAACTGGAGCTCTCTCATTGAAAACATTCAAACTGCCATCTAAATCCATCTCCAAACTCCACCTCTCAAATTTCATAGTTTGTTTTTTTTCTAGGATGTAATATTTTTCCAACTGTCTGAATTTGGAAGCATGCCAAAGGCACTTGTTGTCAAAGTACATACTCTTCTCTCTCCTTCTCTCTTTATTTCTCTCGCTCTCTTCAGGACGGTTCGATGGCCTGGAGCAAAATTTCTCCCTTTGAACCACACCCTTTTCTGCACACTTACAGATCTAGAAGTGTTCTGAGAATCTTTTTGTCGACTCTTGTTCTTACCTAACCCAAAGGTCATCCATTGCAGAAATCATGCAATTTCATTACTTCAGGCTGATTCTCCTTTCCACTCTTTTGAATGCAGCTTTCATAATGTTATTAGATTTTCTTGGCATTCAACAAACGTGTTTCTCCCTAATCTGTGCTGTGTGATATTACTTGAAGCAAAGCGTGGCCAGTTCACCCCCTCCCCCAATGCTCTAATGCCTTTAACAGCACAGGCAAGAAAGGAAAAGCAGTACATGAAGACAAAAGCTTTCCTTGTCGAACTTCTGCCTCTCCTGATGACATGGCTTTAGGCACAGAAGCTCTGCCTGAAATCAAAGTGACAAGACAACCCAATTTCAATGGGAGTGTAAAAATGTAAAGCTTGTATTATTAAATAGCGTTAAGTAGCATTTGTTTATAATTATGGGAGTTGCTTTGTGTAGTTTTTATTAAATGTGTGCATTTTTCTGCATATACAGTGGTACCTCAGGTTAAGTATTTAATTCGTTCCGGAGGTCCGTTGTTAACCTGAAACTGTTCTTAACCTGGTACCTCGGGTTACATACGCTTCAGGTTACATACGCTTCAGGTTACGTACGCTTCAGGTTACATACGCTTCAGGTTACAGACTCCACTAACCCAGAAATAGTGCTTCAGGTTAAGAACTTTGCTTCAGGATAAGAACAGAAATCGTGCTCCGGCGGCGCGATGGCAGCAGGAGGTCCCATTAGCTAAAGTGGTGCTTCAGGTTAAAAACAGTTTCAGGTTAAGAATGGACCTCCGGAACGAATTAAGTACTTAACCCGAGGTACCACTGTATGGTTTTATAACAATACATTTTTCCAATTGTAGATTCAGTTTTTTTGGGGGGGAGACCCCAAACTCTTGCAAGAGCCAGCTGATGTGCCACAGCGCAGAACCAAAAAGAAAAAAGAGGACATTCCAGGGTCCAATGAGAAGCCAGGATGGTTTCTGTAATTCTGGGAAGTCCTGCTCAGATTGGGACAGTTGAAGGATATGCCCAATAGTTCAGTATTGTCTAATTGACTGGCAGTGGCTCTGAGGGTTTCAGACTGAGGCCTATCTCAGCCCTACGTTGGAGATCTTGGGAACTTGGGACCTTCTGCATGCGAAGCAGATGCTCTAACCACTGGGCCATGACCTTTGCCTAAAGGAAGGTGCCTTTCACTGAGTCAGGCCATTGGTCCATCTAGCTTGATACTGCATACACTGACTGGCAGCAGATAGAACCTGGGACTATCTTCATGCCGGGCAGATGCTCTGCAACTGAGCCATGAATGATTGCACCTCTTGCGTGACCTGGGGACATATCTCAGTGGCAGCTAAGTTACTTCGTCATACCAGAGATGGTATTGCTGGGTGTGAATCTTTAGGCTTAATCCCCAATGTGGGAAAATGGTAGCAGGGTGTAGCTGCCAGGCCTCATCAAAAGGTGTGTCTGCAGTAGCTGAGCACATCTATAATGTCTTCCTGATACCAATATCAGTCCATTTCCTGCACAGGGCACATCTTCCTTGTTGAATCAGAAGAAAGCTTCTTATAGCAAAATTATTAGAAATTTCCTGTTTTCTTTGTTAGTAGCCACTTTCTGGGTTAGCGGAGTCTGTAACCTGAAGCGTATGTAACCTGAAGCATCTGTAACCCGAGGTACCACTGTACCTGAATTTGATGTTTTCCTCTTCCCTTCCTTTCCCTTTTCCCTCGTGTGTTGTGTTCGATTGGAAGTTTGCAAGAAGGGACTGCATTTGTTTTTGTTTTGTTTAAAAAATAATATATTGATCTTAACAAAAAGACAAAAAGAAAATGATTACACTGGTATGGCACAGTGCAGTGCAGAAAATCAAGCAAAGCCTCTCACCATGGAGGGGCTAGAAAAGAAAAAATCCAGATTTGAAATCGATCAAACCAGAAACAATATGAGGTTAGAACTGGGCTTTCATAGCTCTAGTTGCTATAAGTAAATGGATGGTCAGTTCTTTATTTTGAAGACCTACAATATCAACAAAGGACTGATTGAATGTAAGCCACACTGGGAGACTTTCTGGCTGAAGAGTGGCATAGAAATGCTCTAAATAAATTGTAGATTTAAATTATTGAGAAATTAATTATGTGGATAAGGTAAAGGATCCCTGAACTGTTAAGTCCAGTCAAAGGCAACTATGGGGTTGTGCCACTCATCTCGCTTTAGGCCCAGGGAGCAGGCGTTTGTCCACAGACAGCTTTCCAAGTCATGTGGCCAGCATGACTAAACCACTTCTGGCACAATGGGACACCATGACAGAAACAAGAGCGCATGGGAACACTGTTTACCTTCCCGCCGAAGCAGTACCTATTTATCTACTTGCACTGGCATGTTTTCGAACTGCTAGGTTGGCAGGAGCTGGGACAGAGCAACGGGATCTCTGATCGGCAGGCTCAGGAGGCTCAGTGGTTTAGACCACAGTTATGTACTGTGGAACCTCAGGTTACGTACCGTCGTCCTTACAAATGCTTCGGGTTATGAGCTCCGCTAACCTGGAAGTAGGTGTAGTGAATTTTGCCCCAGGATGTGAGCGGCAGTCGCGCACCGGTGGCCCGGCAGCCGCAGAAGGCCCCATTAGCAAAAGCGCGCCTCAGGTTAAGAACAGTTTCAGGTTAAGAACGGACCTCCGGAACGAATTAAGTTAGTAAATGGAGGTACCACTGTATTTATTTCAGTTTGCATTTCTTAGTACAGAAAGTATTGCTCTGATGTGTAGAGATTTTTCCTATTCCACTTAATTCAAGAGGGTTCTGGAAGCTTCTCTGTGTGAAAGAAACAAGCAGAAGGTTCATGATGTTTGGGTTTTTCCTTCAGAGAAGCTGAGTACAGTTGGCTTAAACTGGTTCTCTTATCTCTTTCTGTCAAGGTCATGCTGGTTTGCTGGAAGGCCAAAAGGAGCCCGGGTTTCACTTTCTCTTTCCATCTCTCTTCCTTCTGGTGTGGTGTTCTGTATATAGTGTTAAGGTTTAGATTTACTATAAGTTATTGTAAGTTTAGGTCTGCTGCAACTGGATTTCTTATGGCCAATCCCGAATGTATTGAATTTGTGACCATTATGCTCATTTGCCTTCAGTAGCAGCAGTAAAGCTCTGCTGGATGAAACACAGTTGCCTCTGGTCTAAATTTTGGGAATCCTGCAACACGTTTAAGTTTTTACTCTACTTATTATACGATGGAATCTGCTCTGGATCAATACTGAGTAGCATTTCAATGACATTTACTTATTGCATTTATATCCCACTTCTCCCCACCTCATGCTGCTACCCATCTACGCCCTAACATAAGAACCCATCTAGTCCAGTATCCTGCTCTGACAGTGGCCAACCAGATACCTGTGGAAAACCAGTAAGCAGGATTTGAGCATAAGAACACGCTCCCCTCCTGTGGCTTCTAGCAACTGGCATTTGGAAGCATTTCTGCTTCCAGGTGTGGAGGGAAGGCAGAGCCACTGTGGCTAGTAACCGCTGACAGCCCTCTCCTCCATGAATTTGTCCAGTCATCTCTTAAAGACATCCCAGTTGGTGGCTGTCAGATGGCAATGGTGATTGCTCACGAGTAACCAGGCAGGACTCCGGCCTATCTTTTACAGGTTTTATTTGGTGCAAAACTATTTATAGTGCAGAACCCCAAAGTTCATGTCTGCCTCAATCGCTGGCAGAATCCGAGAGAGGCTTTTTCCGGTTTTGTCCCCAACATAAGAACTTCGTCACCCCCAGCCTTTTCCTTCCTTCTTTCGCTTTACCACTCTGCGCAAGGTGGGCAACGGAAGAGGCGTGCTTCCCTCCTGGCCAGCTTGACCAGGAGCGGTGCTGGGGCTCACAGCAGCATCCCCTGATCCCTCTCCCCCACTGGAGGCGTGGCTTTCCCCACCGCAGGAAGAGGAACTGCTTCGCAAGACTTTCGGAGGATCCCTGTATCCCAACGGCCCCTCTACTTCCCTGCCCTGTTCTGATGGCAGTTCCCTGACAGTGGCCATCCCTGCCTCCTCTGGGAGCCAGTTCCATCGTTTAGCAATCTGTTGTGTGAAGGACTTCTTTTTATCCCTCCCAAATCCATCAAGGGAGAAAATTTTTCTCTATCCCCTTTCTCCAGGCCATGCATAATTTTGTAAATTTCCATCATGATGACTCTTACTCACCTTTTCTCAAAGCTAAAACACACACACACAGAGAGCAACATTTCTTCTCTCATCAGATTGTGGTTTGCAGTGCCACCTGTCTGTGGCCAAGTAGTGCAATGACATGCTTATATTTTTATTATATGTATAGATACATGCATACACACAGTACTTTCCCCCTGGGAAAATAGGTGCCTCTGTGTGTGTGTGTGTGTGTGTGTGTGTGTAGACTTTATGTACCGCCCTATACCCAGAGGTCTCAGGGCAGTTCACAGAAGAGATCACAATATATAAAATCAAAATAAGAACAATAACCCAATAACACACACACACACACACACACACACACACACACACACAAAAAGGCCCACATTTTAAAAGGGTATAGGATGTTCATCAGGTCAACCAAAGGCCTGGTTAAAAAGGAACGTTTTTTGCCTGACGCCTAAAGGTATACAATGAAGGCTTCCCTGGGGAGAGCATTCCACAGACGGGGAGCCACTGCAGAGAAGGCCAGTACTCATGTTGCCACCCTCCAGACCTCTCGAGGAGGGGGCACACGATGGAGGGCCTCGGAATATGATCTCAGGGTCCAAGTAGGTTCATATGGGACAAGGCGGCCCTTGAGGTATTGCGGTCCTGAGCAGTACTCACCATGAAGTTCTTACAGTAAGTGCCACACTTTTTAACAACAACAACAAAAGAGGTGCCGGTATTGCGTACCCTTGGATACCCCCTGGGGAAAAAAACCACTGCATACACATGTCAATAAAGTTTAGCAAAATATGTTCAACCTTCAGACGTGTATGTTGCTATTACAGAAAAGCAGTGGCAGCAGCCTGGCACTCTCTGTGGCCTTCTCTATCACAGTGCCTCATTCTGCGGAAGGGCCCTTTCATCTGAGTGAGGAGGGATGGAGTTGCAGCAGCGGTGATGGCGTTCAATGGCAAGCAGGCAGGCAGGTGGACAAATCCACAGCTGTTTGTGAAATGCCACCTGGAGCACACGTCTTCCTGAGCCTCAGTTTAGGGCTAGGTCCCCAGGTGGCGCTGTGGTCTAAACCACTGAGCCTCTTGGGCTTGCCGATCAGAAGGTTGGCAGTTCAAATCCCCGCAACAGGGTGAGCTCCCATTGCTCTGTCCCAGCTCCTGCCAACCTAGCAGTTCGAAAGTATGCCAAAAAGTGCAAGTAGATAAATAGGTAAGGGAAGGTAAATGGTGTTTCCTTGTGCTGCTCTGGTTTCGGTGTTCCATTGCACCAGAAGCGGCTTAGTCATGCTGGCCACATGACCCAGAAAAACTGTCTGCGGACAAACACCAGCTCCCTCAGCCTGTAAAGTGAGATGAGCGCCGCAACCCCAGAGTCATCTGCAACTGGACTTAGCTGTCAGGGGTCCTTTACCTTTACCCTTACCAAAACATGATGGACACCATGCCCATGCCTAAGTGCTAAGCTGTTCCTGAATTCATAAAATATGGATGGTTGGGAAGGACCATTAAACATGCACTGTGAGTGAACTGAAGTTAATACCAGCCGCCACAGTGTCTGGGCATACACACCGCTTTGAAAATGCCCAGCTGTTTTCTCCTGGTGGCTGGGTGGCTGGTGTTGTTACATCGTTTAGTCACTAGGTGGCGGTGAGCCCACAATATATCATGGTGGGAGTCGGGAGCTTCCTGTTCCTGTTTTGTTCTCCTTTGAGAGAGACAATAAAGCTACTGATTGGCTTGTTCCCGTATCCACACCCTCAAAGGCAACGATGGGGGGGAATAGTAGCCCTCCAGGCATTGTTGGACTCCAGCTCCCATCAGCCCCAGTCATCATGGCCAAAGGTCGGTGGATGATGGGATTTGTAGTCCAGCAACATCTGGACAGCCACAAGTCACCCATTCCTGCTCCCATTAAAGGCTCCTCCTTGAATGGAAGCCGTATGGTGCACTTAAAAAAATTATTATGCAGTGCACTCTTCATTGCTCCTTCGCAGCCACAACTTTACTTGATCCACATCTCACATCATATGACATCAGGTGAGTGACAGGTGGGCATAGCTGGAGGAAAATGGCTGGCAAGCCAAACTGGGAGAACTGGGTATTTGGCCCATGGACCAAAGGTCCCCTACCTGTGTTCTAAGCCATCCATAGCAGTATAACTGCTGGAGGAAAACTTTTTATTTATTTATTTATAATATTGCATGGTAAGGGGTTGGACTAGATGATCCATGAGGTACCTTCCAAACCGTCTATAAATTGCTTTTTAATAATTGCTGTTTCTAGAGGTTTTTTGTTGTTATTTTTATCTGTAAAGTATATACACAAAGTATCAAATGTGGTGACAGTAATAATAATACAACAAAACAACAACACCACAAACTGGCTTATAAGTATAAAACCAAATTTACTAGAATAATAGCTAGAATAGAGATAGACTTGTAACCATTCAAACAACAAACATACTAAGGTGCCATGTGCAAGACAAAGCCTAGAGATACTGTAAACATTTATATCCTGACCTTTCTACCCAAAGCTCCCAGGGTGACAAGTAGATACATAATTCAAAACAAAACAAAGCAAATACTTTCTGGAAACAGTTCAAATGTTTTAAAAACAATTGCAATTAAAAACATTTTTTCCATCCAGTGGTTATGAGGTTACCAGGAGCAGTGTTATTCAGCTACCAAATGCTTGGGTAAACAGGTATGTTTTCAAATTTTTCCTGAATTTTAAAGCTGATGGCAACAGACACACTGCACTAGGGAGGGCATTCCACAAATGGGAAACCACCACTGAAAAGGTCCTATCATGGGTCAGAGCCAAACAGGCTGCTCCTGGTGGTGGCACCACCAGCAAGGTCTCACCTGCTGATTGTAGGGTCTGGTATGGTTGGCATTTGGGAAGGTGCTCATTTAAGTACTTGCTGGGAGAGCAGATGTGGTTTCAGAGGGAAAGCCCAGATGAGGAGTTGGTTCAGCTCCTTTCCTCCTATTATTTGGGATGCCCCTGTTTTCCTTCTGCTCAAAGCTTTTCATGGGTGATGGTTTTCCAGAAGCTCCATTGGCTGTTTTCTGTGATGCCTTGACGTTTCCTCCATTTTGATATTTTTCTTTGTTAGTTCCCATTTTAGAATTGCTGCTTACCGTCATTTGCTTTAAGCTACCTTGAGTTGCTTTATCGGTGGTGATATGAACAAAACTATAGCAGACCTGATTTCTCCTCCAGAAGCACTCCATTCAGCAAAATCAAGTGCAGGCATAGGCAAACTTAGCCCTCCAGATATTTTAAGAGTACAATTCCCATTATCCCTGACCACTGGACCTGTTAGCTAGGGATGATGGGAGCTGTAGTCCCAAAACATCTGGAGGGCCGAGTTTGCCTATGCCTGGTCAAGTGCATAAAACACATGACATCATAAAATTAGTTCATAGCATCATAAAACTGTAGAGTTGGAAAGCGTTCCAAGGGCCATCTAGTCCAATCCTCTGCAAAGCAAGAATCACTACAAAAGAGTATCTGAAAGATGGCCATCCATTGTGTTTTAAAAAACCTTCCAAAAAGGAGTCCACCAGCTTTTGGGAGTTCCTCTGTCAAACAGATCTTACCTTAGAAAGTTCTTCCTAATGCACATATACATTTAAAATGCATGTGCAGCAGTAAAATTAACACATGCAGTTTGTTAGAAGGAAAACAGGTTTGTTCTCAGTGATGGGAGGGGTTTTCCTTAGTAGATCAATTTACAGATCTGCGCTGCACTGTTTTAGTTCTGCAATCTATACATGTTTACATGGGAGGGAAGCTGAAAGCAGCTGTACTCAACCCCTCTGGGTGTTTTGGGACTACAGTTCCTATCAGCCTCAGACAGCCTGGCCCATCAATCACTGGAAATGTGCCCTGATCTTCATGCCATGACTAGGTGTCTTGTTTAACCAGCCTGGCAGAAAATTGGCCCCAGCCCTTAGGCTTATGAGAAGCGCATTCAGTGCTGTGCCCTTGCTGACCTTTCTAGCTGAGCCAATTACTTGCCTGGCTGGTCCTCTGAAATGCTAGCGCAAGGCTGGGCCCTGCATCAGCTGTGACGCCACAGCCTGGGAAAGGAGATTGCCAGGGGCCTCAGGACTCCCTTGGAAAGTGGCGTAGCTCAGTGGTAGAACATCAGCTTTTCCTGAAAACGGTCCCAAGTTCAATCCCTGGCATCACCAGGTAGAGGTTGGGAAAGACTCCTCACCTGAAACCCTGGAGAGCTGCTGCAGTCAGTGTAGACAATACTAAGCTAGATGCACCAGTGCTCTACCATTGAGTGACACTTCTTCCCCTGCATGTAAGATTTTTAAGTGGGCAGATACTGGTGGTTTTTTTAATGAATTTGTATTGTTTTTCATTATAAATAAAAGCATCTTTGGCAATCACTCATAGCCAAGTAAGATTGTCTTCCATGAACACAAGCTTAACAGTGAGTCCATAAGTGACTGTAGAGGCCAATTCTGGATTCACACGTCCTTCCACAGTGGGGACATAGGTTTCCGGGTGGGAGTTGATCATGGTGAGGGTTTGCTAAGCATGCCTTCCTCTTAGCATGTTTCTCCCTTTCATCCTGAGTTCAAGCATCTTCAAAGCCCATGACACCTTTGGTAAAGGCTATTCTCCAGTTGGAGAACTCGCAGGTCAGTGTTTCCCAGTTGTTGGTGTTTATACTACATTTTTTTAGATTTGCCTTGAGGGATTCTTTAAACCTTTTTTGTTGACCGCCAGCATTATGCTTTCCATTTTTAAGTTCAGAATAGAGCAGTTGCTTTGGAAGATGATAATCAGCTATCCGCACAACATGGCCAGTCCAACAAAGTTGATGTTGAACAATCATCGCTTCAACACTGGTGACCTTTGCTTCTTCCAGTACACTGGCATCTGTTCCTCTGTCTTCCCAAGTGATGTGTAAATTTTTTCGGAGACACCATTGATGGAATCTTTCGAGGAGTTGGAGGTGGCATTTGTAAGTGGTCCATGTTTCACAAGCATATAGTAAGGTTAGTAGTACAGTAGCTTTGTAAACAAGCATTTTGGTTTCCCTACAAATGTCCCGGTCCTCAAACACCCTGCACTTCAATCGAGAGAAAGCTGTGAGAGTGATAAAAGCATACAACTACAGTAACAACCAGAGACAACCCACATCTGCTGCTGCTCCCAATTCTGCATACAGGTGGGTGTAAGGAAAATACGAACATTTGTCCACCTAGCTCAGTACTAACTGGCAGTGGCTCTACAGTGCTTTCAGACCTGGTAGCTATTGCAGGTCTACCTGGAGATGCCAGGGTTCGAACCTGGGACCTTCTGCATGCAAAGCAAATGCTCTGTCACTGAGCCACAGCACTTCCCCTTCACATTAACGTTAGCAACGTTGCTAGCTTTCTGGGAAGGCCTTTGAATCGCTGCAGACTTGCTTTGAAGTGGGGGGCAGGAATCATAAAGTTTCTTCAACTGTTTTGGACCAGCGTGGATGACAAATCAAGCCCAATCATGCCTGAAGAAGAAACTTAAATGCACAACAGCAGTGCAGACTTCTCCAGCTGGAATCTAAGAGCATTGGCTGAAAAAGTGAAGAAGTCACTACATGTTCTGTCAGAAACATTCCTTGAGAGGTACAAGTGGCTCCCATTTTAAAAATAAGCCCTGGACAAAGAAACGCCTCCTGGTAATTACCTGGAACACTTTGGCAGGTGTGGCGGCGGAGGGCATTTGTCCTGACAAGTTTCATCCTCCCCTCTCACAGGTGTGACTAAGAATACCTGTCCAAAGAGCCAGGAAGACGAGGTGTTTCTGCAGCCTGAATTTCTGCAAATGGATCTTGTGATTGGCCAGTGGGGAACATGACTGTGCACATGGCATCAGAAACATAGAACTGTAGAGTTGGAAAGGATCCAAAGGGTCAACTAGTTCAAGCCCCTGCAATGCAGGAAGCATAGCGAAGAAGGACAGCTCAAGGAGAAATGGGGTGACCTGGAATGAAACCAGAGGTGGATTTAGGGCAGAACCACTGCTTCCCTGCACTGGGTGCCAAACCAGCGTCACAACTATGACACAGTGAATTGAACAGAATGGGAGGCAAGAGGCAGGGGTGCCGAATTCTGGGCTTGCAATGAGCACCGCTGAAAATTTAAAGACCAACGTCCAGCCCTGATGAAACCATTAGGCAAAGCGAGGTGACTGCCTGAGGTGGCTGGGGGAAGGGGGTTAGGTGTCATGGGTGGAGAGTCCACCTTTGATAACTTCATAGATAAGAATTAACAAGCAGTTTATTTTTTTATAGTCCTTTTATTCAGGCATCAGGTTGCAAGCAAAAATCCACATCCCTCCACAAGGAGAGCAGCTGGCTACTTTAAATCCTTCCCTCCCCATCGCCAGCAACATCCTGCACGCCAAGAGGAAGTCCCTCCTCCTTTCTGCATCCTTTGTTCTCTAATATGGTCAGATTTCCTAGTTCGTGGGGAGGGAGGGTCAGGATGGTCCCCCCGCCACTCTCTAATGACGTCTCTGCTATCTGTCCCCTCCCTTCTGTTTCTCTTGCCATTATCTCATAGCTAAGTAACTCCTGCCTAAGTTGCTCTGTGTCTGTCTCAGCTTCTGAGACAGCTGTAGGCAAAAGGGGGGGTGTCGAATCTTCCCCCTCCAGCTCCTCTGCTAAGCAAATCTGCTCTGCCTGAGAATGCATTCCCCAATCCTCCGCTTCAGTCCATTCCCTGACATTAGGAGAGTAGAAACCAGGGGAAATAGGAAGCAGTCTTATAGCAAGTCAGATTATTGGTCCTTCTAGCTCAATATTGTCCACACTGACTGGCAGTAACTCAGCAGGGTTTTGGGCAGGAGAAAGAACTCGGGAACATATGGAGAGCCTGCTGGAATCCCACAAGCAGGACCTGAGCACAGGAGCCCTTTCCCCTCCTGTGATTTCCAGCAACTGGTATTCAGAAGCATGACTGCCTCTGACTGTGGAGGATAGCTATCAAGGTTAGTGGCCATTTTTAGTCATCTTTTTTCCAGCCCTACTTGGAGTTACTGTGGATTGAACCTGGGACCTCATGTGTCCACAACAGATGCTCTACCACTGAGCTATTGCCCCTCCAAAAAAAAGTAAGTTTTCAGTTCGGAACGAAGAGCCAGTTTAAATATGAGAATCTGAAGCAGTTTTAAATGGGAGACTGGTTGCGTCCAACAGAATCAGCAGGAAATGGGTACCAATATATCTGACATATCATTGAAGAGAAGAATTTGAGGTGAATGGGTGGACATATGAATTCATTTCCATTTATGAATTGCTTCTTCTAAATACATTGAAGTGGCAATGATAAAAACTTTAAAAACATTTTTTTTAAAGAAATTACGAAAATGGTATGTCTGAAAGCATATATAAAAAGAAAACAGTCAAAATAATTCCATCACTCTCTTTATTACAGTCACCTAAGCAGAAACTTTGTACAAATTTATAAAATAATATAAAACAAAATAGAAAACAATATCAATAAAATTACTAGTAACCAGGGCTGGTCTACCCATGAGGCAAGCTGAGGTGACTGCCTCAAGTGGCAGGATCCACAGGGACCGCGGATCCTCATGTAGATCTTTATTCCCCCCCTCCCCTTGTTCCTGATGTTGATACTCACTCCCACTTTCTTCCCTGGCAGGGAGGGAGCTGCCATTTTGTGGTTCACCTCAGGTGCCAAAATATCTTGGGCAGGCCCTGCTCACAGCTGTCAACTTTCAGATTTGAAAATAAGGGATCAGCAGCCTCGAAAATAAGGGATCAGCAGCCTCACCTGTCCTGGGGAACCTCGAAAATAAGGGATCAGCAGCCTCACCTGTCCCGGGGACAGTCTATGGGATATCTAACAATCCAGGATAGCAGCGGGAAGCAGCGGAAAATGGCGCTGGAATAAGGGAACTTCCTGCAAAAAAAGGGAAGGTTGACAGGTATGGCCCTGTTTGTAACTGTATCATACTATAGAGCACAAGGCATAAAGAACAAAATTAAAAGTTTGCAGCAGCACAATACTTAGCCACCCTAGAAAAGGAGGATGTTTTCTGACCTGAAAAGAGTCAAGAGTCATCTATTGCATCTGATCGTCCTGGGAATTTCTGTAGAAAAAAAAAGTTCCATAAAAATCATACCAGTACTACAATAAAAGGAGCAACACATAAGAACATGAGTTACCAATTTAGCACATAGTCCCTCCCCAAACTGCTTCAATGTGCTATCCTGGAACGTGGCGGGATGGACGTCCAAACAGGATGGCGGGGATATGATAGAGTTTTTAGCGAAATTCCAGATTATGGGTATACAAGAGACCTGGTGCTTAGAATCGTCACCCCCCCCTTCCCTACTGGGCTATGATGCTTTTGTGATTCCTGCGACCAAAACACATTTGTATGGGCGCCCTAGTGGAGGCCTGGTAACATTTGTTTCGCAGGAGCTTCATCTTAATATCTCTCCTCTCCTTTGGTTAGAGAGTAATTGTATTCAAACTTTGCACATCACTAACAGCCCGGTTGGGGACTTCATATGTGTTAACTTGTACAATCCATCTACCTACTCCTCTTCCCATACAAATCGGTTTTGGGAGGATCTAAGATTTATCTTTGATAAATCTGTGGCTGAATTCCCAAAGTCAGAGATCCTCATAATGGGGGACTTTAATGCCAGAATCGGAGCAGATATAAGCTCATTCACCGATAAGTCGCAACTATTCATAGAAGAGGAGTGGTTTCCTACGTGGAATTCACATGACAAGACCATTAATAGGGCTGGCATCATACTGCTGGAGTTTACCATTAACTGCGGGCTGCACAGCTTGCATGGTACACCCAAAGACTGGTCCGGGGGATGCTATACTTTTCTAGGATCTAGAGAGGCAAGCGTTATAGATTATATCTGGTCCTCCTCGGCACTTAATGATAAGGCATATTGTTTCAATGTGTTCAACAGAACCGAAAGTGACCACCTTCCTATTGCCATCTCCTTCCACCACACACAGCTGGGGCTCCCCAGCTCACTCCTCCTCCAGGATTCACTGACCTTAGCCCCGGTCGTAAGAAGTGGGATATCTATCTGGAGCAAGACATAAAACTCCTCCTAAATTCCCCTGAGATCCTAGCCCTGAAAGCTCAGCTGGTAACAATGAATGTGAATCATTTCTCAAGTTTCCAACAAATTCTAGCCTACTTGCTCCCAACACTTACGAAACCCTCCCGTGCGAGTCTAACCTGGAAGAATCAAACTTGGTTCGACCAAGAATGCAAACAGTGCAGAAGTAGGCTTAGATTTCTTCAGTCTGATATGAAATCAGACAGCACCCAGAGCAAAATCAGGGAGTTAGCCCAATTCCGTTCTTACTACAAGAAGTTGCTCCAACATAAGAAATTGATCTTTGCGAAAGAACGCTGGACGGCATTGTCAGTGGCCATTAAAACCCGTGACGACAAGAAATTCTGGAATTTAATTAATGCAGGTTTAAGACCCCCCCTCATTCATCGTTAATAACATCACAGCAGCCAGTTGGCACTCTCACTTTGCTCAGCTGTATTCCGCCCCAGATTCCGACGTAAACGCAGTTTCCACTCTTCCTGCATCTGCCTTGCCCACCTGGGAGCCAGTCTCCCCAGAGAGATGTGTACAACTAATTAGCATGTTATCAGGGGATAAATCCCCGGGGGAGGATATGATTCCACCCGAGGTATTCTTATTGAACCAGATGTGGTGGGCCCCTATTTTTGCATCTCTCTTTACCACTATTAATGCCACTCTTAAGATCCCGCCAAATTGGAAACAGAGCATAGTCATCCCAATACATAAAAAGGGGACCCACAAGATCCGCGTAACTATCGACCCATCAGCCTGCTAGACATATCATACAAGGTTTACTCTAGATTCTTGCTAGAGAAATTAATCGAGTGGGCAGAAGAAACAAAGCTATTCCACTCGGAACAGGCTGGCTTCCGTAAAGGTCACAGTACATCTGGCCAATGTCTTGTTCTATTTACCCTGATTGATAAATACCTAAACAGGTTTAACTGCAAACTACACGCGGCTTTTGTGGACCTGACCTCCGCTTTTGACTCCATTCCCAGAGATAGGCTATGGCAGAAGCTTAGTTACACCAACATAGATAAGAGACTCCTCCTTCTTCTTATGGAAATTCATAATGACATATCGGCCAGAGTAAAATTCGGCCCCCTGGGAGCTCTTTCTGATTCTTTCCCTCTGAATAAAGGGGTCAAACAGGGCTGCCTCTTGGCCCCTTTTCTATTCAATTTCTATATCAACGACATCGTTACAACTATGCAGGCCCTAAATCAATCTGCCCCCTCTCTACAACAGCTCAAGATCCCCATATTACTCTATGCGGACGACATGGTGATACTGTCTTTAACCAAGCAGGGCTTAAACAACATGCTCAGAGGGCTCATGACATATTGTGATACCAATTCCCTCAAAATCAATTTCGCCAAAACCAAAATTCTTACTTTTGGCACGAAAACTCGGAAGTCATTCTGGAACTTTGAGGGCCACTCTATTGAATATTGCTCAGCTTTCAAGTATTTGGGAATCACTTTTCAGCATGGGCTTAGCTGGTCAGCTCACCTAAATATGACCATCCTGGCTGCCCGTAGAACCATCAAAGCCTTGGAGAAATTCTTCTATGCAAAAGGCGGCCAGTTGGTTCCACCAATCAGAAAAGCATTTATTAGCAAAGTCCTCCCGATGTTACTGTATGGGGTTGAAATCTGGGGGTGGAATTTAAAAACACTACAACGGCTGGAGATTCTACAAAACTCTTTTGCACGAAAGATACTGGGTCTCCCCAAGGGCTCGGTTGCTGCTCAGTTAAGAACAGAACTGGGCCTCCCCTCCATTGTTGCGAGAGCCCACATTAGAATTATTAGTTTTTATTGCAAATTAATCAATGCCCCAGGTTCCCTACTAGCCAGGCAAGCCTTTTTAACTTGTTCTCACTCCAACAAATGGTCCAAGGCCATGGAGACTATTACTGTACGCTACTCCCTCCCAGAATTCGACACGTTGTCATCTTGGGACCAACATAAAATCCGGGCCTGGATTCTTATAAGAGATGAGGCCATGGACCGGGCACAGTCCACCTCAGCTCGCCTCTCCATGTGGCTCCCTAAAGTGAAAGTGGTAAGATCACTTGCCAACTACTTGATAGACCTGACGGAGCCCAATTTGAGAAGAGCGTTTACAATGGCCCGTTTTCATTCTATACCCACGGCCTTCCTGCAGGGGACCTACTCTAAGACCCCTATTACTCAGCGTCTATGTCCATGCACAATGAATGAAGTAGAGGACTTCATACATTTCTTTTTCTACTGCCCTATTTATGATCCAATAAGACCTAAGCTCCTCCTCTTGATCCCGTCCTCCATTTCATCCAAGGAAGACTGTCTGAAAGCACTTCTTGTGGACGCAAATCCCCAAATTTCACGTGGGGTGGCAATCTTCACAGTGCAGGCTCTGAAACTCAGGGCTACTCTGACAGGGTAGTGTGCCCTAGTCCTGGACCTGTTTAATTCTTTTATTACCTTTTTAACTCAATGTGCTGAGCCTATTTTGGGGCCATTTTATGCTTTATTTATATCCGCATACTAGTTTTTTGGCGCTGGCAACCAAATCTCTGTATTATTGTCTTAGGGTGTTTTAAATGTCATTACGCCAGCAATATCGCTTTGAATTTTGCTTGGTTGTTTGTCCCCAACATTTTTTTTGTATTGTCTTATTTTGCTATGGCTGTATGCTAATGCAATTAAATTAAATATTGAAATTGAGTTACCAATTCTACCTCTTCAAATTCACAGGGACATTTACATTGACAATGGAAGGGGAGTATTGGGGGGAAATCCTCTCCAGGACTGCTGATGGAAGGATGTTTAAACACACCAGAGTAAAGGCTTTGCAATGTTTTTGAAGAGAGAGCTCGTAAAGATAGGACTGCATGATATTTGAGGTTAAGCCTAGAAACAATTTCATGCGTATAAAAACAATACTCACATCCGGCATATGAAGCAGCCTTGGCCACAGATCTACTTTGCCTCGGGTCTGTTTGGCTTTAT